TGTGGGAGATTAATGACTTTGAACTGAAGTATAAAACAAAAACCTTGTCGTGGGCTGCTTTGGAGGCTGATTGACTCGGAGAAGGTAGAGTAGATGTATCACTTGCCGCCATCTCCATTGGCGTTTGAAGCTTTTGATGATCCAATGAAGATGATACCTTTGCACTGACTGGAGACTCTGCTTCTCTCTGAGCCTCAGCTACGCTCGAAGAAAGGGTGTTAGTGTTTACTCCTGACCCTGAGTCAGTGCTCTCTCCTCCTGACTTCGAACTTCCCTGGGATTAACAAGAACAAACACGTTCATCAGTACAAAAAGACATCGAGTCCCAACCTTTTCATCAAATCATGTCCCGACATCATCAAATCCACTGAACCCAATATCTCCATCAGAAAAATCAGAAGTCGTTCAAAGTAGCACAGACAAATTTACTCTGGGACTGAAAAGAGTTGAGAACTTGAGAGGGTGATTGATCAGTACACATCAAAGGGTGTCTGGAATGCATAATATAGCAAGAAGCCTTGAACCATTCGAGTTAAGAAACATGGTCAAAGTAGGAGAAAGAAAGGAAAGAAGGTACTAACTATTGGGGTGTGCTGGAATCTTATTGGCCATGAAGGGAACATGTCCAGAGTGGCCGCAGGCCTGCCTGTATATAAAGCTGCAAGAGAATCACCCCATAACAGCAAAAATCTCAGAGGATCACAGTAAGTAGAGAAAATATAAAGACAACCAAAAGATTTTTTTTTTCTTTCAGAACATGAAGAAAAAGAAAAAGCAGAGACTGAAACCTAATCCCTCTTCTCTCTCTGCTTCCTTTTTCTTGCAGTTACGGATTCAGTAAGAAAATCGTGGCTTGGCTAAGGTCAGGTTTCCAAGTTTGTGTACTCATGCCATTCCACTCTCAGCCCCAGAAATGATTACACTATCAGAAATGGAAAATTCGCCAAACCCCACACTGCAAACATTTTCGAACTCCTCTCTATCTCTTCCTCTCACACATATAAAGGATACAACTGGTTGTTTTTAATGAGATGTCACTGGAGAGGAAAAAAATGTGACATAGAGAGTTTCATGTTCATACCTGCTTTTGCTTCATCATTTCTGATGTTAACTCCTTGCAGCACAATTGCCTCTTCTAGCTCTCCAAAATCAAAAGCAGATCCTTCTTGATTACTGAAACAGAGAGAACTAATGATCAATGCCCATATAAAGAAACCAGTCTTTTTCCTTTATTTTAAAGAAAGAACTCAGTTCTATTTTGAGGAGAAGAACTTCTGAGTTGGATGAGGTGGGTGAAGAGAAGAGAGCGTTGGGTTAATACATGAAAGTGGTGGGATTGTTGATTCCATGATAGACTGAATAAGGGACGTGGTGAGTTGATGGCCCTGTTTCTGATAAACCAATCTCGCCAATTCTGTGGCTCGCCATGCAAGACTTGTTCTGAACTCAGAGCCGGACTATTTTCATCTCTGCAACATCAACAATGAACTACATACAAGAAGTTGAGAAACAAGAAGAATATGTGATGGTTGTAAGAAAACTTATGGCCTCTTTGTGAACAGAGAGAAGACAGAATGAGAGGAAGTGAACAATGACTCTTATCAAGCAACACACGTCTTTACCTCAATTTTCGTGGGAAGGAACTCGTTTGAAGGAATAACCCAGACAGGCAGAGAGAGATGGATGAGAAGAAAGAGAGTTACAAACCAGAAAAAGATCAGAGCTTCATTGTCAAAATATAAATAAGTAGCCACAAGAAAGGTCCAACCTTCAGCCTCATTTATATATATCTCTCTCTATCTATTTCTCTCCTTTTTGTGACTTTTGAAGCTTGATCCTTCATGGACGTCTCTATCTCTCGTCTTTTTTCCCTCCTTCTCTCTGAAGAAACCTGACGGATCTTTAGTCTGCTTAGCTTTGTGTTGCTTGCTTTTTGACCCTCTCATGGTCAGAAAATTTTGTCCTATCAGAGCCTGTACATGCCAACTCTGCTTGTGGGGATTGGAAAAAATTGATATGCCAAAAACAATGAAAGATGAAATATTTTCATATGGATATTATTCTTTAACAAAAAGGAAATTGAGGTGCGGGGTTTTTGGCATGAGCCCACTCGAATCACTGGATCCTACTGCATTTCTCTCTCTTGTAACCGCCTGGGCCTTCTCATTGGCCCTTTTACTGGAATCTTTCAGGGATTGCAAGTACTTGCATGAACAGAAATTGAGTAGATAAAGAAGTGATTTTGTCAGTGAAAAATACAAAGAAGAGATGGAGATGAGACAAGGTGATCTTTCATGAAAGAAGGCAAGAAAAGAGGGATTAATACAAAAGTAGGACATCTAAAGGGTTTTCAATTGTTCTTTTACGTGCCCTTAAGGGCGACTGAGCCCACCGTTGACACCTAAAACCTTTACGAGATTGAGAGAGAGAGAGAGAGAGAGAGAGAGAGAGAGTACTTAAAGTTCTATTCATGCCTGTTCAACTTCCCTATAAAATATTTAACCTGCAGACAATATCCACTTGCCTTATTAATTCTGCTCTTTCAGATGGATTTGTTTGGTGTTATCGCCATGGTTGATATGTCAACATCCATTCCCTGTCATCACCTAAAACCATTGCCACATTGAGATTCTTTTCTATTAATAGAAATTTATAAACCCATTTCTTCTTCTTTTCTTAGAGGCGGGTAGCTTCATTATCTTTCTTATTGTTCCTGGTCTGGGTCCTTACTTTTGCATTGGGTGGTTGTGTTTGTTGGACAAGCCCCATGGACGAAAGTTAAAATCTTGCCCAGGTTGCAGCACAAAAATGCATAAGAAACTGTCACACATATTAAAGAATCTCTAGCTAAAAGACTTGTATAAGTGATTGAGCAAGCATTATTGAGGATACACAAACAGGTGTTTTCTTGTCTCTATCTTTCTATGTATAAATATGTTCATGTCTGGTGTGTGGGGGCTGGATTCGACCCATGAATTTCTTCCATAAAGAGGTGGAAGCAAATATTCTAATTCAATGTTCATCTGCCATTTTTGTAAGTAATGCGGATTTTTTTTCTGAACCAATGATTGGATGCGAGAAAAAGGGGTCGGATTCAATTGGGCAAGTAATGTATGGATTAGGTAATCCATACCTGAGAGCAGTTTGCTCAAAAAGCACCTCACTTTCTGGGTTTAGAGATTCCAAAAACCTAGTATTCAGTATTTTAGGTCACTAATTGCCGCTTGGAGTTGCTTTAGCAATTCTCTCTCTACCCCCAAAAAAAAATCCCATATGTAAAATCACAAAGCAATAATTAATTAAGTTCTATTTATTATCTTTATAAAAAAAAGAACTTCTATTCAATATTTTTTTGATGCAGGGCAAGTATAACGGTACTGTACTACCTCTCTGTAGTTTCATTTAGATCCTGGAGTTTAGCAATTGAGGAAGCCGGAGGTCGCCAGTTTCGTTCGCGAATCGAATTGACGATGAACTTTGTCGAACGAGCCAAGGCGGCCCACGTTTTGAGAGCATCATTCTTCTCTTTAGTCATCATGATATCCCGATTGTGTGGTGTTTAATCAGCAAAGACCACAGGTCACAACATTGGCCTAGATCTGAACCAGTTTTCATTCTCACGGATTGCGGTGATGATGATTCTGATTTGAACTACTATGGACTCCTTGCAATATTAATTCCTGAATCATTTTCATACATTACACGCTAAGAGGCTCCTTCATTTTAGCAACCTGCGGATATCAATGCAAATCAATTCATCGCCACTCAAATTGAGTCCACAACATATTGTATAAAACACCATTTAGTCTTTTTCTTCTTGTTTCTTTTGGGGGCCACAACACACAATTTGCAGTCTTCAAGTAGATGCACTGTCTCACCTAACAGATCACCATCATTATGATAATCATCTACTCTTTCTTATTCTACTTTCATTCGATTCTCATAATCCCATCTTCAAGTTCATCAGTTGCTCCTTATGAGGAATTAATTGAATCGAACCAGACCAAAAATTTCAATGGGTTTCGAATCGAAGCATTCTTTTGCAGAACTACAGACTATGTTCATCTCTCAGTTTAAAAGACATGACCCACTATACATTAGTGCCCAATTTCCATTGTTCAGTCCATGTCCAATGAGAATATGCACCTTCCAAGCAACTTAATCAAGATGTCACAATGGATTTTCCATCAAAGCGTTCGTTCTTTTTGTAATTGCTGTAATTAATATGATTGTCTCTTAATTGTCTCTGTCTGGTATGATGGAGATATACATTCTCAGTCCCAAGTTAATGTTTGGCCCCCAAAATAAGTTTGCCAGTTATCTTTCACTTTCTCATATGATTGCAGCCACACTGTTAACGGTTTAAAACCAAACCCCAATTGAAATTTAAAGATATGGTCATTGGTTTGATTTTTACCCAACTCTCCTAATCAAATTACAGACACATAAAAGCAAAAATCGTTGATTTGAACTGAAAATAAATCTCCAATCTAACTCATAACATCCTAACAGGCACTGATCTGAATTACAACGTTATTATGTGCCATATTTTCCTCAAAACCTTTGGTCGGTGGATTACAAGTTACTGATATAACATGCGCACGAACTTAACTAAACATATCACACGAGCGATATCCATATTTGAAAATCCACCGATCAGAACAACGGACGAAAAGCACGACCCTTTTCGAATATCATTTTCAGGTCGCTGCTCTTTATTTTCTTCTCGAGTTCACATTTTTCCCTCTTTTTTTTTCGTTTCGATAACTTTGGAAAAAACAGGAGGACCCCTTTGGAAATTCTCATAGTCATATGCTCAACATATAGCATGAGAGTTTACCTATGAATCTTTTAGCTCAAGAAGAAGACGATGATGCCAACTCCTTCATGCGTTCTTGATTCCACGAAGCCCATGGGCCTATGAACCTGAAGGCCCACGAAGGAATCGAGCTTGGAAACAAAGGCCCAAGCCCAACAGAGCAAGGCCCAAATTCTTTCTAGGGTTTTTGGTCCCCCTCAACCTCTGCTTCCGCACCATATATATTCGAAGCCGAGCTCTGCAAGAAACCCTAGCTGCGGATTTCGCTCTCCTCGAATCTCCGGTGAGCTCTCTACCACTTTCCTCCTTTGCATCAGATTTCGGTGTCGACGTGCTGTGTTGTTCTCTCTCTGTAGCTGAATCATTCGCCTTCAATTCGAAGCCTCTTTGATGTAGAATAGGCTTAAAGTTAGGGTTTTTCACTTTGAAAAAGCTAATGGAGTAAAGGGTTTTTTTTTTTTTTCTCTCTTAGTTGTTATTTGATCAGATGGGTATTCATATTCAGCTGATCTAATAGTTCCGCAAGTGTTTTTGACGGTCTCGAGACTGTTCTTGAAACTGTTCTGTTCTTGTTCGGTTTTTGGTCGCAGGAGGCAAATCTTTGGGACGGTCTCTAGAGAGGACGAAAAATGAGGTATGCCACAGCTCAGCTTGCTTTGTGATGGAAACTGGGGTTTTCTTGGTTTTGCTTCTCTTGCTGTGTTGGGTTAAGTCTTGAATTATAGCTAGGTAGTTGCGGTGGTGGATCGAGATTAATTAGCCAAAGGGTGCTTGGTTCTGCTCTTCGTAGTTAATGTTGAAATGGTTTGCGAATAGATTTGAGCCGTTGTGGTGATCGATCGAGGTTGATTAGCCAAGCCATCCTAGGAACACACCTCAGTCCATTTGAATGTGGAGGATCTCACGCTAGGCTCAATTCTTGTAATTACGTTTCGTCGAATCTCTTCTCTCTTAGACATGTAAACTTTTCCCTTTATAACTTTTGTTTTGGTTGAGATAATATCTGCACTGTAGTTGTCAGTCGCTCATCATTGGAATCGTTGTAATCAGTGGTTAAATCATCTAGTAGCATCTTGCCGGTGTGGCTATACTGCTTGTAGAATGCAGCTGGTATGAGGAATGTTCAAATTGCTGTGAAATGTCACTGTAGGTTGTAGCTTGCATTTTTTCTGTATTGCATTTTCACAGATCACATATTGGGGCTGTACTGAACCTGAAAGATAGCTGGTGTGTACTTGTAGATGTCGTGTTTGAACATCCTTGCAGAGTATCTGCACGATATGGTGTAGTTGCAATGACCATGGTAGAAATTTAGAGTTGGAACTTGTGCATTTTGGGAACCTCTCCTGAATATTGCCATTCATGCATGTTTAGTTCAGGCCTTTATATTGCTCTGACCTTTGATTTTTCCCTCTCACTTCCAGTAAGCTTCAAAGTGAGGCATTAAGAGAAGCTATCTCAGGGATAAAAAATGATTGCAATGAAAAGAAACGTAATTTTACCGAGACAATCGAGCTTCAGATTGGATTGAAGAACTATGATCCCCAGAAAGATAAGCGTTTCAGTGGTTCTGTGAAGTTACCGCACATTCCTCGCCCAAAGATGAAAGTCTGCATGCTTGGTGATGCTCAACACGTGGAAGAAGTAAGTTCCTTGCAATTGCAATTCACCTCTAATTTCTGATTCTCTGGCAACGCTAAACTATTCATGAAGAAATGCCACTCATGCCTTTTGTCTTGCTGCAGGCAGAGAAGATTGGCCTGGATTATATGGATGTCGAAGGGTTGAAGAAGTTGAACAAGAACAAAAAGTTGGTTAAGAAACTAGCAAAGAAGTACCATGCTTTTCTTGCGTCTGAAGCTGTGATCAAGCAGATTCCTCGTCTTCTGGGCCCTGGTTTGAACAAGGCAGGCAAGTTTTTTCCTTCATATGTGGCGGTAGTGATACTCCCACTTAAGAGGAATCCAATTTATCCATTAGTAATTCTTTTATCTCTGAATGGATCGTCAGAAGATGCTTATAATTTTTAAAATTAATGCAGGAAAGTTTCCCACCCTTGTCACCCATCAGGAGTCCCTTGATTCCAAAGTTAACGAGACTAAGGCAATGGTGAAGTTCCAACTCAAGAAGGTGCTCTGCATGGGTGTTGCTGTCGGTAACCTCTCTATGGAGGACAAGCAGATCTTCCAGAACGTTCAACTCAGTGTGAACTTCCTGGTTTCGTTGTTGAAGAAGAATTGGCAAAATGTGAGTGAATTCGACTCTTATGCATTCAAAGATGCCTCCACAATTTGTCTAAGCCATTTTCTCTTCCTGTGGATTCAATCTATATTTCTTTTGTTCAAGCTGATGGGATTTCCCCTTTTGTTATCAGGTCAAGTGCCTCTACTTGAAAAGCACCATGGGGAAGCCGTACCGAGTCTTCTGAGGTGTGCAATGTATTTTGATAGGGAGTTACTAGAAAAGAGAACTCGTGTGGCCCCAACCATTGAGAAGTTACCTTGGTGTTCTTTCTTGTCAGCTGTTTTTGCCAAAAGTTTTGGAATTCAATGACAATCTTTAGTCGGAACGTTTCCATTTTGTTATGTAGTTTTCTGTCACAATGGTTTAATGATGCTGGTTGGACTCGTGATACATGTGAAATCAGAATCCTATAACACCTCGTCTCACTTCAAGTTTTTTCTTGGTAGAAGAGGTCTTTTTGCAATTGGTCCATCCATAGCTAGTCATGGAATCTATTTAGAGTGATTTGACCTTTTTAACTTCCTTCTTTCTTCAGCATTCGAAATTTAAATCTTGCATTATAACGAATCCTCACATCCTAAGAAAGAAAACATGTAAAATCGTTTATGAGTGTCGCATATTTTTAATGTTGTATATATATTCTTTAACATTTTGGGAAGATAGTAAAATGTGATTAATACAGCTAGGACTAGCATACTCTAAATCTCGATATCTGTAAGTGAAGTCGTCATTGTTTATGTATGTCACCAAAAGGTGTTGTGATTTTACAAAATCTAGGGTGTTTTTTTTTTGTGGAAAATAAAAAATAATCGTTGTATTGCTTACAAATGAACATTATTGTTGGTAATGAAAAAATAATTTTACATACTAATTATTTCAAGCGATATAAACAATCATTTTTAACAAAATATTTTTCAAATAATTCATTATCTATACTTTCTCGACTAAAGTTAGATGAACATTTGGTATTTGGGGTATTTGGGGCCAGAGTAGATGTGCAGCACAGGTCTAACGCCCATCTCTTTGATGGGTCTCAAGGCATCTTCTTTACAGAGCCCTCCAAGTAAAAGAAGATTCTCGAAACTACCAGGAGCCGACCCCTGGCTTTTCTCTCCATAGGATTGGCACTCTCGGGTTGGCTTAGTAAGCACAGCAAATGCTGCAGCTGCAGATCTCAATCCGCTGCAAGTAATATATACCTAAATCAATTCTCCAGTATTAATAATGGGATGGGGGTCAGGGTTGTGTGTCGCTCGGCCATTTCATGGCTCTAAAGAACTGCCAAAAGCCATCTCTCTCTCTCTCTCTCTCAAACTCTCAAGAACTCTTCAGGTTTCTAGAGAGCTCTCTCCTTCTGCTTCTAAACACAAGGTCACTTTCAAGATCCAACCTAAATGCTTTCTCCAAGTGCCAGAGTCATTCACTCTCTCTCCAAACTTTGCTGAGGAAAAAGCCTCCACAAATCTCTCTCTCTCTCTCTCTCTCTCTCTCTCTCTCTCTCTCTCTCTCTCTCTCTCTCTCTCTCGTCTTTCTGGGTCCTTTGTTCACTGTGTTGCATTGGTACTTCTCTCATTGCTCGTGCTGCGTTCTTCTTCCGACCCCCTGCTTCTTTTTCTTCGTTATGCATAGTTTCATGTCTCGACTTCACGATAAAGTGTTTCTAGGAAGGCTCGACTTTTGCTAGATCCAGGAAAGATATTTTGCAAGAAAACTAAGAAGAGAACTGGTTTGCTTCTTCTCATGTTGCTCCTGACAGTGATTGCCTTGTTCTTTACAGATTTAACAAAAAAAAATAGGATTAAATTGCTTGCTTCCTAATCCCTTTCTTTTGCAAGGCATACAAACACACTTTAATCTAGGATGATCCGCCCTGTTTTCATGTGATTTTGTCTTGATCTTTGAGAAAATCTCGGAAACATCTCACAGAGCCCCTCTCTCCCTCTCTCTCTCTCTCTCTCCAATCTAACATGTTTTTAGATTGATGTATGCATGCATGGTTCATAAAATTATTATGAACTGGTCATTCGTCTCTCTGCATCATCAATCTTTCCAGTGATATTGATTCTTGCCACTTTGTTTTCATTTTATTCAATATTGGATCCACAACCCTCGAAAGAGATAGTTACACAAATGAAAATTGTGCATACAAATTATGAAGTTAACACGCGGTATATGTAAATGATATTCGGGCTATGGCGGATGGAAAAACTTAGATCAGGAGATTGAGATTAGAAAAAATAATCCCCACCTGGGACTCAAAAGCTTCACATTTCAGGAAAAGAAATCGTAAGTTGTAACATATATTTACGAAAATGGCGTGTATAAGATGAAACTTTTATAAATTTTTCACCTTGTTTTAGATATATTAACAACTAATAATTTGACATCCAGGGACAAACATGTCAGCCATTGGAGGACTACCCGCCACTTGCGCTTTCATGAGCCAACCCAAGAGGCAATTCCAATCCACCACCACTTCCCTCGTCAAGGCCCCATCATCTTCTCTTGGGTCAGTGAAGCCCATCTCCAGGTCCTTCGGCCTGAGATCTCCCTGCAGCTTCAGGGCGTCCATGGCGGTGGTGTACAAGGTGAAGCTGATCGGCCCCGACGGCGACGAGCACGAGATTGAGGCCCCTGACGACTCCTACATCCTGGACTCGGCCGAGAACGCGGGGCTCGAGCTGCCGTACTCGTGCAGGGCGGGCTCTTGCTCGACCTGTGCGGGGAAACTGGAGTCGGGCGCGGTGGACCAGTCCGACGGCTCGTTCCTCGACGAGAACCAAATGGAGCAAGGCTACGTGCTCACTTGCATTTCCTATCCAAAGTCCGATTGTGTGATTTACACACACAAAGAGGAAGAGCTTCACTAGACTATTGAGTGCATTACCTATTTGGACTATTTGTTTTTCATGGCTCGTTCTTGATTTAGTTTAGTATATCACGTGATCAATTCACATAACAAAGTATCACTTGATCATTGTAGTCTCACTATAGTGATGATAGTTGAACAGAAAGCACTCTTTGTACGTTCTTGAAATGCTTCCGAATACGGAGTATATTCATATTTCCCTATACAATATTTTGTTTTCCACAATGCTTTGGGGCCTTGTACGCAGTATCATAACGAGAACCGGATCATTGCTAGTTCAACTATCAGAGGGTTGTATTTTCCTCTGATCACTCTGATTGATGGGTTATAAATAACGGGGCCTCATCTAAGCAAACTTAATTAAAATTAAAAGTGTATGATGTTCATATTTGAGACACATGTGGCCCGAAATAAAAATGGCCAGGAACTGTGGTTCGATAGCAAGATATACTAGACTCAGAGCTTTCTGTTAATTCTGTCTCAAAATCATCAATGATGCTTTCCTTGCATGATGAGATGTGTGGCCCAAAGGAATTTTGGATCATGGTGGATTAGACTCCAGAAAGCCCGAAACCTTTTGGGGCCTCGTGCAATTAGAAATAGTTCTTCTTAGAGAAAATAACACAAATGATCTCCTAATTTTAAACCAATTTGCAATGTGGTATCTGAACTTCTAATTTGTTCAATATGATTCATGAACTTTAGCCTAATATGCAATGTCGTCCCTCAGCTTTTAATTTGTTCAATGTGATTCATGAACTTCTGGTACATGTTCAAATTAGTCCCTAGACTATATGAAAATATTCAATGTTGTCTCTGAACTTAAAAAATAGAAGGATAACATTGAATGCTTTCATATAGTTTATGGACTAGATTGAACATTTACCAAAAGTTTTGAGATCATACTCAATAAATTAAAAGTACATGGACGACATTGTATATATGGCTATAATTTAAGAATTCCATTAAATAAATTAAAAATTCATGAATCACATTATATATTATGTCAAAATGTAAGGATCATTTATGTCATTATCCTTTATTGTTATTTACATATCGATGGAGCCCGGTTTCGTTCTCAATCTGAACTTGACAATCCATAGATTGAGGGGCCAAACTTTGCTTTTGCTAAGACCTTCGCAAACTGGCACAATCAAGAACCATCGTACGAGGCTCCAATTTTCACATGTTTCACAAGTTTACGCACCTTTTCCTCCACATGCTTGACCAAACCAGCATGAGTTGCATGTGTTTTCCGACAGCGAGATTTGTCAGGTGCAGTGGAAGGAGTTCATCTTTGGTGCAATTGCAATTACCCCCTTTTTTTTTGTCCCTTTTGTAATGTTTTTTTTTTTTTTTTTGCGTTGGGTCCTTGAGATTCTGGAGTTTTTAAAATTTGTTCCGGCCACAATCCTTTCTTAACGTGAATGTCCATGAGAGTTAGTGGGGAAAAGTTTTAGAAAAATCCTAAACTTATTGCATTTGTGTTAATTTAGTCTTAAGCCTTTTGACCTAGTACCAATTCGGTTTTTTCTACTAATTTTGGCCGGAAATTATTTATGTGGACGCCGACCTGCTGACGTGGCATGGCCGACTAACTTGAACAACTTTTAATATTTTTCGAATTTATTTATTTATTCTTTTTCCTTTTTTTCTTTTCTTTCTTTTTTTTTTCTCATCCCCTCCCTCCTTCCTCCAACCGGTTTTCGGACCTCGGAGATTGGCCAGAAGACAAGGTCGGCAAGGTCTGGCGAGCCTCGCCATGGCTGGGCGAGGATGAGCCTTACCCGTGGCCGGTGAGGTGAGGTTCTCGCTGGCCTTGTCGTCTGGCCAGTTCTTGAGGTCCGGCGATTGGTTGGAGGAAGGCAATGGAAAAAAAAAAGAAAAAAAAAGGAAAAAGAAAAAAATAAATTTGAAAAAAAATATTAAAATATTATCAAAAGTTATCCATGTCAGCCGCCCGTGCCACATCAGCCGGTCGATGTCCATATCAGTAATATCTGGCCAAAATTAGTCAGAAGAACTGAATTGGCATTGGGTCAAATGGCTTAGGATCGATCAAATTGGTACCATTAAAATATTTAAGACTTTCGATCCAAAAAAAATATTTATAACTAACTTGGCAACTTTTCTGACACTTTTCCCAGTGTTAGTGGGTTCAATGTTTATGGGCAAAATTTCAATTAAGGACCCCTAAGTGGGGTCAAATTCTCAAAAGAGGGCCCAAAGTGAACATAGTATCAAATAAGGGCCTGAAGTACCCAATCAGTCTCAAATAAGAACCCGAAGTGCTCAAAAAGTCTCAAATAAGGGCTTGGGTCACCGGCCGGCCAAAATACCCGCCGGCCGGCGAGAATGTTACTATTCCGGCACCGGAATAGTAATTTTTTATTTTTTTTATTATTTTTTCCTTTTCTGTTTTTTTTCTTTTCCTTTTCTTTTTTTTTTCTTCTCTTCCTCCGCCGGCCATAGCCGGGGCCGGCGGAGGTCGCCGGCCTCAGGCGAGGCCACCCTCGCCGGCGTCAGGCGAGGGCTGCCCGCACCTGTGCTGGGCGAGGTCGGCCTTGCCAGATCTGGCGAGGACTCGGCCCTGCCGGCTGCTGGCGAGGCTCGACCTCGCCAGCGTCAGGCGAGGCCGGTCTCGCCCGCAACGGCAAGGCCGGCCTCGCCCGACGCAAGCGAGGCCGGCCTCGCCCGCAACGGCAAGCAGCCGGGCCTCGACCTCGCCGGCGTCGGGCGAGCTCTGGCCTCGCCCGCAACAGCAAGGCCGACCTCGCCCGACGCCGGCGAGGTCGAGCTCGCCACGGCCGGCCGGCAGGCCGAGCCCTCGCCGGCGCCGGCGAGGGCCGCCTCGCCCGGGCCGGGCGAGGTCAACCCGCCGGCGGCCGACGGGGCCGAGCCCTCGCCAGATCTGGCGAAGCTCGACCTCGCTGCAACTGGCGAGGCCGACCTCGCCCAGCCCAGGCGAGGGCGGCCTCGCCCGACACCGGCGACCTCCGCCGGCCCCAGCTATGGCCGGCGGAGGAAGAGAAGAAAAAAAAAAGAGGAGGAAAAGGAAAAGAAAAAAAACAGAAAACGAAAAAATAATAAAAAAATAAAAATTTTACTGTTTCGGTGCCGGAATAGTAACATTCTCGCCGGCCGACGGGTATTTTGGCCTGCCGGCGACCCAGGCCCTTATTTGAGACTTTTTGAACACTTCAGGTCCTTATTTGAGACTGATTGGGCACTTCATGCCCTTATTTGATACTATGTTCACTTTAGGCCCTCTTTTGAGAATTTGACCCCACTCGGGGTCCTTAATTGAAATTTTCCCATGTTTATGTTGAGGCAGATACGTGGTTTTCACAAACGGTACATGCATTTTTTCTTTTTCCAATTGATTATGTGAAATCCATTACTGGGTCAAGAGAAACAAATGCGAAGGTGGACAACTTTCAAATGCCGTGTGTCCCTCAGTTCATCATGAGACCCTAGCTAGCTCATTGATGAATATACAGAAAATTGCACTGGAGGGACCAAATTAAAAAACTAAAAAAAAAGAAGTTGAGGTGCCCAATTGAAGAACAATTCAGCTCTAGGTTAAAGTTGGGTAAAGGTAAACATGTTAAGGAGAGCCAATGTGGAAGTTAACCCAACAACTTCTTGAAAGAGGTAGTAGGACCAGGAACTCATTGGCAAAGCAAAAAAGGCCTTCTCTAATCCTTTCAGGCCCTCATGCGGGACAAGAATCGTCATTTCTCTTACCATCTTTAGTTAAAATAACAATACATGTCGACAGAACATCATCAAAACCGATCGAGCGCTCTCATTCTCAAGATAGACGTATCGTTACGGTTGAATATAAAACAAAAGCTTAACATTCAGCTGTTAGAAATTTCACAGCAGCATGTCCCCGTTTTACATGGTGGAGACGTAATTGAGAAACTTTGCCTACTGGATGCAAAAGTTCGCAGGAAAAGAACCACTCATTTTCTTCCTGGGCCTACCAAAAGGAGTGGGGAAAAGGTCGATATGGAACCAAAGGAAAGGGCGCCATTTCCAAAGATGATCCGTGGCAGAGAAAGAGAGAGAGACAGTGCTTGCAAGGGTCGTAGATTCTTAAAGTTTTAGAAGCCTGTCGAGGAGAGAGAGGGTGCTTTGAAATAGAATGCAAAGTGTGCGTCGACGTAGCTTTCACACTTCCAACGCCAGCCCCACCTAAGCTAGGGTTTTGGTCCACCCCGGGAGCAAAATCAAGTGATCTCCCTTTTCAGATTATTCCCCCCATAAACGTGACTTTCGTCAATGATCCGGCGCTCTACGTTACTATAACCCCGTTCCCATGCTGTAGCTCGAGCTTTCGAACGGATTGAAACTAGCACCCGAAAGTCAAATCAATCTTCACGCGTCCCTTCCATGTTCTGAATGCTAACCAGCGCACGGGCATGTATAACTTTTTCGAAACCTCCGAGGGCCTGCTTGAGAAAGCAACATCAGGTCGACGGGTTGTCGTCGTCAGTGATCATCTAGCAAATGCAACAATGCAAGCTTATCCAACTCTCTAACTTGGAGCATCAAAACACATATCGACCAAACTCGCTTTGGTCGGTATGGTGTGTACACGATATTGATTAAAACTTCAATGAGAGGCCAAGTCTGTTTTTTGTTCTTTTCTTTTGGCCCAAATGAGAAAAGAATATGAACCAATCATCATCGTTTCGGTCGACCCCCATGATGCAATTGATGCGTTTAGAGCCTCTGCGAAGCTCCCAAGAGGTATTGAATGGTGATGATCACGAAGAGAAAGTGATGGAGGAAGATAATGAAAAGATTTGTCATTTTGCTTTGCTTCTTCTTTTTGCAATTATTGTATTTGATGCTTCTCCCTTCAGCCACTCAAGCTCTTATTAGTGGGCAAAAACGATGATGGCTTAGAATAAACAATTGTCTACATCTTGCGGGGATTTTATTAATTGTTGCAAAGGGAGAATCCTAGGCAGGAGTAGGACCAACTCTATTTGGAAAAGCGCATGGATATTTTTATTCAGGTCATCTGTAAAAATGCTTAATTTATCTTGATGACGTCATTATTTTTTAGCGCTCTTTCTCTCTCTTTTCGTGCTTCTACTCGGACACTTGCATCGAAACTCGATGGAAGAAGAGACTTACTCTAACCTGTTAATCATGTGGGTCCAACATAGGGGCTCGTATGATTGGTGATGGGGG